AACACTTGAACAATCACTGCTGTTGGGGAGACATTGAAGAGATGTCTGGCCTGACTCTCTACACTGAGGATCCCATGTGAGTCCCTGGGCCAGGCCCCACCCAGAGAAGCCTGATATCTGTAGCCACCATCCATCTCTCAGATACTCAAGGACAGCTAGAGACAATGACAACAATGGCAGCTTGGGTTTCAGGTACTAAGCCTTGCTCTGGGTGGCTCAGCATGACAGGCACCAGGTTCAATAGCTCTCACTAGGACTGCAGACAAGCCAGCTTCCTGTCTGCACAGTGCACACATTAGTCCAGTCCTTACCACCAGTCACTGAGAAGTAATGGAAGGAACTCACAGCAGGCTTGCCTCACTGCAGCACCCCCACCCCCATGGTACCACTGCTAAAGGAGGTGTACAGCCGTTTTTGGCTAAAGACATTATGAGAGGTCAGCCCTACCGTGAACACAGAGCACTCTCGTATGATTCTAGGCATCGCCCTGGTTATGTATGTATTACAGAAACTTTACTTTGAATTTTGATTTGTTTGTTTGTTTTGCCTTTCTCCAGCCTGGTGCCATTGCAGTTGGATCCTTTCTTATTTTGAGACAGGAAGCTAGCCTCTAACTCATAACTCTCCTGCCTCAGCCTCCCTGAACACTGTGTTCACAGAGTGCTATTGCCTGGTTAAGGGTGCAAGATTTTATTCAACCAATCCAGCCAGATTCTCATTAAAACCAGACTAAGCAGGCCAAGGACAGAGCTCAAGGTCAGAACTGGTTAGCACGAAGACTCGAGCGTTCTGAGTCAAACTGGGCCACAGGAGTCTATCTCTCCCATAATGCTACCATCACGATCAACGACAATCAGTGGGCTAATTTTCATAATTGCTAATTAACCCTAATAACTGGTTTGCATAAGGACTGCCTGGCTCTGCTTTCTCTTCTACCAGAGAAACATTTTGACCTTGGGCTCATCTGGTGCAGCAGATGGCAGGGCCCAACACACCCCAGGAGTCAGCACTGGCCTTTGTCCAGCCTGGACTACCTCTCTTCCTGGACTGCAGTAGTTCCCTCACTGACCCTGGCGGGACCCACCAACATCACTCCACCCCTCCAAGGCCCAGAGCATGCTGTACTCAACTCAAGGGAGCCCCCCAACCAGCTTCCTGCACCTTTCCATCAGCAGGTGGGACACCAGTCTTTCTTAGTAAATAGCCTCTGTCTCTAAGAAGGATAGTAAACCCTCACCTGCAGGGCCACCTGCTGATTCTGTCCTCACTATTTCACCTGGCTGCTACTAACTCCTGGGTTTCTACTTTCTGCAGATTAATTGGAAAAAAAAAAACGAAAAAGGAAATGTCTTTTGTCCTCCTACCTAGTCACACCCACAGGAAGACTCCGTGAAAGCAGTGCAGACCCTTTGAAGCCAGTTCGAAGTGGCTTAATTCCAGTGCCACAATCAGCCAGCTGTGCCACCAAGAGCAAGCCAATTAACCTCCCTGAGCCCTGGTTGTTCAGATGTCTGGAGTTATGGAGACAGCCGTTTGCTCCAGCAGCTCCAGCAGTAGGCCTTCCTGCTGGGAGGCAGAAGGTCTTTTATTTTTCTGATGGGCAAAGGCTGTGATGAGCCCGTGGAAGAAGACAGAGTACCTCAGCAACCCTGTAAGAAGCTCTGGGGGACAGCAGTGCCCGCTGTGCTAGCTGCTTTTCCCCATCACTGTGATTCCTCACCAGAGCAACTTAAGGAAGGGCTTGTTTTTTGGCTCACAGTTCAAAGGTACAATCCATCATGGCTGCCGAGTGCAAGGCAACATCAGCATCAGGAGGCAGAGGGAGACATGTCGTGCTTGGCAGCCTTTCTCCTTTCTCTGCTGCCTGCGAGCTCACCCCGTGGAATGGTGTTGCCCACAGTGAAGATGGGTCCTCAACCACTAGCCCAACCTAACCCTCCCTCACAGACGTGCTCAGAGGCTTGTCTCCTAGGTGATTCTGCGTCCTGTCCAGTTGATGATATTAACCATTCTAGCTGCTTTGGCTGACAACTGACATGTACTTGTTTGAACTGAAGAAGGTAGAGAGGAGAGCCGGACGCTTTGGTTGTGCTCTGTGGGAGAGGCGCCTGGAGGGGCAGAGGGGAGGGAAGGAAGAGAAAGGAGGCTGCTGCAAACATAGTGAGCCCAGCCCCTCCATCACTCTGACCCCTCCTTCTTGGTCCCTCCCTCCTCGTCTTCTTTTTTTTAATTAATTAATTTATTATTATTTTACTTATTCACTTTACATTCCACTCACTGACCCCCCCCCCCGGTCACCCTTTCTTAGTCACCCCATTGCTCAGCCTATCTAAAGGCAAGGGCCAGCTAGGGAGGACCTCCGTGTAACTGGGTCAGGGGCTCCGTGGCCATTTGGAGCCATGGACCACCCCCTTCTCAGAACAATATTTTCAGCTGCATAAAATAAATGCATACGATGACAGAGGGAACCAATTGCAGGAAATAATTTGGCAAAGCACGCAGACTCCTCATGTGGGAACATGCCGCTTTGTGAGCATGTTAAACAAGATTCGGTGGATGCCTAATAAACACACCACTCCGGAGGCTGCGCGTCAGAACACCTGCAGCAGCTGCCGAGGGATGCAGAAAGGATAGGCGCTGCAGGTCACTGCATCCTGGCGCCTGCCCCATCACCACAGTGTAAGAAAATGACAAGTGACAATTTACAAGCTGCAGAAATAAGGAATAGATTGTTTTCCAAACCAGTTCACAGACTCTGAATTCTTTGGACTCCATGCCTGAACTCACCTCTCTGCCATTCCCTAATGGCTAATCCTTCGCCGTCTCAAAGTCCTACGGGCTTCACCTTCTGCATGGAGGCGTCCCCGTTTTAATCTCCTGTACCCATTATTTCTCACCTTGATTACCATAGCAGCCTCCCTACCTCTATTCCCAGTCTCTCTGTCTCTCTGTGACTCTGCCCCCTGAACCTCCCCGCACACCCGGCCACACCCCGCCACAACCAGCCACGCCCCACCACGCCACGCTACACCCCGCCACACCCAAGTACTGGAGACTTTCACCTGTGCTAGGCAAGCACTACCATTGAGCCATATCCCCAGCTCCTCTTTTAATCTTTTAAAACAGTCTCACTAAGCTACCCAAACTGGTCTTGAACCAGTCTGTAACCCAGGCTAGTCTTGGTACCTGTGATCTTCCTGTCTCAGCTTCCACAATAGTTAGGATGACTGGCCTGTACCCAGCTCCCTACTGCCATTCTGATTGGTTGCATCCAGGCTCTACCCTGAACCCAGAACCCACCCTCAAAGCTGATCCTATTACCCCCTCATCCCCTTGCTTTGAACTCATGGACTCCGTGTTGCCTGCAGGATGAACTCGGGAGGCTTTAGACAATCAGCAAGGTCCTCAGCTCTCCAGCCTGGTCTCTCAGCGCCTTCCCCCATCTCTGCCTTCTTGCCATCTGAATACCTGAAGTCCCAGGATTATACTCCTCCCAAGCCCTTTGCCTGTGCCAGTCCCTCCCTTAGTTGTGTGCCAAGGAAACACAGCCTGGTTCCCAAGTCCTACCACGTACAGCTCCTCCACACCTCGGTTTAGCTGTCACACTCCCTGGAAAGGCGAGGATCCCCCTCCTGCCTGGGTCAGAGAAGTGACCAGGCTGCCTTATGGTAACCTTGAATCGTTCTACAACACAGCAAACTTCACAAGAGGGAGTCCTTTTCCTTCATTTCCCCCCAAACTTAGGCCAGTAGCTGGAGCCCAGAAGACCTTCAGCAGATGCTGACTGAGTAAATGGATAAAAGACAGAAACAAAGGGCAGGGGGGGTCTCAGCCTAGAGCAGCAGGAAACTGGATGGAACCAGATGCTGCACTACTATTGCTAAACCCTTCTTCTTTGGACTGAGTTACCCAGGTCCTCACAGTGCCTCTGGGGAGCAGGCTGCAACTTGTTGAAGTCAGCTCTCTGTTCTTTGAGAGATCCCTCTGGTTTCTATATATCCCTCAATTAGAGGTGATTATGTGCCTTGTCAAGAGCTCCTCACTCCCGTTCCAGTCCATGGCAGCTCTTCCAGTGCATGAAGAATGGGATTGTGGGGCTTATAGAAATTCAATTTGTATGTAGCTTTTTAAGGGACATGTGGCTTCTGGAGGCCAGTCAGCTTTGGTGACAATGACAACACCTTGATATTCTTCCAGGGCACTCCCTGCTCAGTCCTCTGGGACATGGGTCTAGAGACACCATTCTAGACACCTGGTGCTTTGGGTCAGTAGCCTTTTTTGGTGTGTTCTTTTTCAGTTTCTCTGAATCCTATGGGGGATAGGCTTCTTCCTTAGCGCCTCCATAGGAGGAAGCATAAGTGGGGGAAAATCTTTTCCTTTCTTCCTTTTTTCTTTCCTTCCCTCACTCCCTTCCTCTCTACCTGCTTCCCTTCCTCCCCTTTTCCCTTCCTCTCCTTCTTCCTTCCTTTCTCCCCTCTTCCCCTCCTCCCCTCCTCCCCTCCTTCCCTCCTTCCTTCCTTCCTTCCTTCCTTCCTTCCTTCCTAACTTCCTTTCTTCCTTCTATCTATCTTCTTTCCCAAGCCCCCCATTACTAGGGATGAAACTTGGGTCTTCATGCATGTTACACATGTGCTCTACCACTAAGCATCAACCTCAGCCAGAAGGGATCCTCTCTTCTGTAGCCCTGTGAGAACCCCCTCCATGCACCCCTTCCTATCACCTCTTTGTCTCATGCCCAAGTCAAACACTCAACCCACTGTACCTCCCACTCACGCTAAGCATCACAAGGCTGGCCCTTGCTGTGTGTGCTTGTCCTTCATGGTGCCCAGCATGCTATGGGCATTTATAAACAGTAGGTCAGGGCTTAGAGGAGATACAATAGCCTGCACCCTCCCATCCTCACAGGGGATGTGCCCAGGCCCGGGAGCTGCAGCATCCCCCGGTGCTGAGCAAAGGGAGCTGAGCAGTTGCGCACTGATGTTGCTTCCCAAGCTCCTTACCTGAGAGCACCGTGAAGACCGCAGCGAAGGCATTGAGCTTGAGCCCGTCTATGACGCTGCTGGAGTGGACGAGCTCAAGACACATGAGGCTGAAGCCGACCACCAGCAGAAGGATGTAGAGCACCTCGGAGACCACCGACAGCCACAGCACCCCTGAAGAGTGAGGCAGGGGCAGGTGAGAGCCTGTCCACCCACAAGGCCAGCCCCACCCACTAAGAACAGCAGGTCATTGCAAACTCGACCTCAGTTCTAGGTGCTCCTATGCTATGGTGCCCTGAAGGACCAGTGTGGGATGAGGTTGACCCTGCAGATATAAAGCAGAACCAAATGAGGAACATTTGCTGGGCCCCTCATCCCAGCCCCAAGGGCCACCCTACTCTAGACGCTACACGGGCAACTCTTCTATTGCTAAGCCCATTTCAGAAAGGCCTCCTGTTACCTAAGCTGCAAAGATCCCTAAACCTCTTACTCAAGCATTGCCTGTATCTTTGCCTGCCCTACCTTCTCCCTTGTACCCTGCCCTGCCTTTTTTCTAGAAACTACTGCTGCAAGGCCCATGACTTTGACCTGTGGTTCTCCCAGGAGCTGCCATGCTTGGCTATGAGCTTGCTCTCCTGGACATTGACGATTGGTCACTGACCTAGAACTGACCTGTTACTGCCCTTCTCTAGGACTCCGAGCATGATGTCACTGAGGTAGACCAGGAGGGGAGATCATAGAGTTCCAGTGAGAAAAATCACCTGGTTCCAGCTCTTCCTGAAGGATGCCGCCCCTCAGCCTTTCTAGTGGTTTGGCGTGTCTTCTGGATTGCCACAGTTTCTTTCCCCATATCAGCCCACCTTGGGCTGCTAGCATTGCTAGCTTTCCTGTCCACATTGTCACCTTCTCTTCTTCCTATATGCTTGTCACCAGTGCACAGCACCTGCTTCCTTCTGGTTTCCTTGGTTCCCTTGCAGACCCCTATCCTGGCACCATGTCCTGAGCACACAATTCTTATCCAAGCAGTCCAAGTTCCTTGCCACCCCAACTCAGGACTCAGGAATGAACTCCTGTGCCTCAGTTTATTCTTCTATAAAGTGGAGTAGCATTCAGAGCCATGGTGCCAGCACTGAGGAGAAACAGTTTCTTGGTACAGTGTAAGACTCTAGTTAGCCCAGTGAGGGACCTGCTCACTGATCTGCTGATGCTGCTGTGTACAAGGAGTGTGCAGACTTGTAGGAGGAGCCCAGGGGCTTCTGACTGAGGTCAAGACTAAAGATGGAGTCGATGGGGAGAGATGAACTTGTGGGTCCACGGAACGGGAGGAGAGTAAATGGTGGGAATGGAGACCCATCCAGCATGCACTCCCACCCGTGCCGCATCGATGTGCTGGAGGATTTCGAGTTAAGCCTGGCAGGTTGGAGATGGACCCAAGACCACTCAGTTGTGGGAGAACGGGCCACAAGAGAGATGGCTTCAGGAGCGGATGGAAAAACAGAAGCCTGGCTCAAAGTTGGGAAGGTGAGGCTAGTGAACGCTAACTGTCAGCTTGACACAATCTAGAGCCATCTGGCAAGAGTCTCCATGAGCACCTGCTCAGATCGGGTTGGACCGTGAGTGTGCCTGAGGGGTTTTTCTTAGTTATGTCAATTGCTGTGGGAGAGCAGTCTAAGTGGACGGCAGCATTCCTTGGGTTTGGGTTGTGTGAGTAGAGAAAGGGCTGAGCCACCAGCAAGTATGTACTCATTCTCTTCCAGAAACATGCGTGCGTTCATTCTCTTCCAGCAAACGTGCATTCGTTCATGGTCTTTGTGCTTGACTATGCATGTGACTAGCTGCTTCCCATTCCTGCCTCTAAGATCAAATCCAGGCTATTTCACTGGCCAGTAGAGGCCCACTCAGAACCTCGGTGATCCCTTCTGTGGAATGGGTGTCTGGGAGGAGGATCAAGGAAATGACTATTCCCCAGAGCAGTATTCACTGCAGTCCTTATTGAGGAAATGCCCCCAAGAGACATGGGTGAGACGTGGGGATACAGGAAGGGCAGGAGGGTAGGTGTTGGGAAGCCAAATCTCAGAGCTGCCTAAACCAGGATCTCATTACAATCCTCACTGGTCAACCTGGCTGGAGGGCACAGAGGGAAATGGATGTTCTGATGGGTGAACAGAACGGGCTCCATGTGCCACAAAGCCTTCTATGGGCACTGGAGATCAGTGGGACACCAGGCTCCCTTATCATTGGCTCTGTAATGAACACCTCTTATCCACTTTTATTATGGCTGTTGTTGCTACTCTTGGCATGACGATTACAATTCCCATGACTGTTATCTTACTTGTGCTTCTGAGATGAAGTTTCACGGTATAGCCCCGGCTAGCATAGCACTCGGATCCTCTCCTTCCATGGTGCTGGCATTACAGTAGTGTGCCACCATGACTGTTGTTATGATTCTTAGATCCTTTGGGTTAGAAGGTGGAGCTCTCATGCATGGGCTTCTGAGCCCAGTGAGAAGATAAGGAGCTGAATCTAGCCGATCACCCCAGCATAGTTCTGGGGTACTAGTGCCAGATACTCCATCCTCAGCAACCCAATCTCATGCCCTAGACCCAGGTGTGCTCCACACTGGCACCTTTGTCTGACTTTCTAATGATGCCCTGACTACCAGAACTTACTCTGCCCCCAAGGAACCAGTCTCACTCTCAAGAGGCAAATAAGAGTTGTTGGGATAATCTAGGTTGCCTTTGTATTAGTCAAATGTTGATACCTGTCCTGGAACAGAGTAGAGCACAAGGAGTATGACCTTGGCACTGCTATTTTTATTGGATTGTCACCTGCCTGAGTATTTTGAAAACATTCTTCTCCATCACCTTCTGATTGCGTTAATAAAGAGCTGGTGGCCTATATCAGGACAGCAGAGAAAAGGTGGGACTTCCAGGCAGAGATAGGCTCTCTGGGAAAGAATCAGGTGTGGGAGGATGGGGCAGGGAAGGACTATTTGCCAGCCAGACATGGAGGAAGTCAGACGTACTGTGACATATACTGGGCCATAGAGGTAACAGGCCACATGACAAACTAGTATAGACAGGGTTAATTAAGTTATACAAGCTGGTTGGGAAATAGCCTAAGCTTAATTCTGATCTATAACAGATACTAATTGTCTCTGTGTCATTATTGGGAGCTAGTAGGTCAAGACAGTCTGACAATAAAGAGTCCCCTGAAACGGTGGATGAGATGTTGGTGGCATGGGTCTGTTTCCTCTCAAAGACTGAAACATTGAGTTGAACCAAAGTGATGAAGTGGTTTTATCCCCATATTCTAAAAATTACTTTTACCTCCATTAATAATGTGTTCTTAAAACCTTCCTAACACTTCTCAGTTTTGTGAGTCGTGTGAGGAAATCAGGTTTTCATGCAGCCTAGGCTGGCCTCCAACTTGCTATGTAGCCCAGGACAGACTTGAACTCCTGATACACCTGCCTTCACCACCCATAGGAGGAGATTGCAGGCATATACCACCATGCCTAATTTTATGTGCTACTAGAAACTGTACTCTGCCAGCTAAGTCACACCCTAGTCCCTACTTGTCAGTTGTTAAGAGGAGGCTGAGCCTCAGGCCCAGCATCTTCTGTGCAGTTGATTGAGTGCTGATTCTCTGTAGATTTATCTTAACCCCACCTCCTCCCTCTGTGCCCACCCAGACATCCTCCCGTGCCTCTGCCAGGGGATACTCTTTGCCAGGACCCTAAGCATCCCGGACCCATGGCTCAGCACTCAGGACTAGTGAGAGACCCGTGTCTCTCTGCCTGTTCCATCCTGCCCAGGGCTACTTTTGCTGTGTTCTGCCTTCTTGGCTCTAAGTGTTCTCTCCTCCTGGCTAGGACAGTACCAGTGTCCCACTCCTATCAGCTTTTGGGGACATTGGAACCCTCAGTTCCATAAAAGTAACTTCTCTATGCCATTTGAACACTTTTGCTCCCAGAGGCCCTCCCAAAAAAGTGACTCTTGTGTTATCTGGAGAATCTCCACCCGTCAAGGACCTTCCCTGGCTCATCTTTTTGTGGTGGTCACTCCTGGTCTTCCATCAGAGCTAGATCCAAGTCAACGGTCCCAGTAGCATCTTGACCAGCCATACAGAAGCCATACAGAACTGGTGATGGGCATGCAGAATCTTGGGCATCAGCTGATACAATGGGACTGGACACTTTGTACTATAAACTGCTGTAGTCACTGTGGAAATCAGCATGGAGGACATTGCTAAACAAATAAATAAATAAATGACTGTGTGACCCAGCTATGCCACTCTTGGGTATACTCAAAGGAGTCCCACTCAGCATGTCACAGAGGCACCAGCACACAACTGTCTATTGCTCCCCTATTCACAGTAGGTAAATATATCTGCCCATCAACAGCAGATGAGCAGATAAGGAAAATGTTGTATAAACGTAGTGGAGTATTATTCAGTCATAAAGGAAGAATAAAATTACATCACTTTCAGGGAAGTAGACAGAACCGGAGTCACCATGTTAAGTGAAATAAGCCAGACTGAGAAAGACAAATCACATTTTTCTTCTCATTATCGGAATCTATATTCAAATTAAAATAGAAGGGATACTGTGGAGGATACCAGAAGGATGAATTTGATGGAAATACATTATTTACATATGTAAATGTCATAGTGAAGTCTTTTTTCTTTTTCAAATAATATACTCTAATTAACACACAAAGAGACAAGAAAGGCACACCAGCTGACAACAGAGCCTTTTCTGACTTTAATGGATCTGCAGAGGATGTGGATACATGCTCAGGCTCAGATGCTCCAATCTTCCTTTTCAACATACATATGGAAAAGAGAGTTGACTTTGGTAAACATAAGCCCATGCTGGAACGGCAAGTGTTGGTGTCTGGAGGACACAGCACAGACGGTGGGAATAATGAAGCGGTGGGAGACGTTGTGAAACGCCAGGGACTGGCAGAGAAGGGAGCAGCAGCCGGGCCTCGGTTATGGGGAGGGGTGATCAAAGACAGGAGGGAGGCCAGTCTCCCAACTTGGTGCTGCTGCTAATGGCTAGATTTGCAGCAGAATAGGTGACCTTCAGGGGCAGAAGAAATGGAAAGATTTCTCATCAGGTGGGGCCCAGCTGACAGTTAATCCTGTTAGCTGCACTTTTTGCCTTTTTA